CTACCTACATACCAAAAATCACGACGATCCGTCAAACGGTTCTTGAGTTATCCTCTTTTGAATAATTTCAAGAATATATCCCTGCAGTTCCAGAGCAAGCCACTAGGGGGCCCAAACTCACGTCACTTCTTCCCCAGCACGAGAGCTACCTACCATCCAAATTTCATCACCATAGCATGTCTAGATCATGAGATATCAAAACCGGAAGTTCAGCTGCAGTACCATAACAAGCCGCTAGGGGGCCCAAAATCTAATCATTTTGAGGTCTCATCAAGACCTACCCACCTACCAAGTATCAAAATAATCCATCAAGGCCTTCTCAAGTTATCGTGTTTACAGACAGACAGACAGACAGACACACACACACACACACACATACACGAACGCCCCTGAAAACATAACCTTCTTGGCGAAGGTAAATATATGTTACCAGACATGTTCAACAGTCTCAATTTGACTGTTGTCTGTAAAAAGTTAGTCTTTGAATCATGTCTAGAAAAAATATTTTGAGAGCTGCCCCAGCAAAGCATACAGAGTAACTTGGGTGTGTAAAGATAAAGTGTGAAAAAATGCCAATGTCAGGGGTATTGCTTTACCGTGATAAGATCTTGAAAGAGCAGGGGGGAATATATGAGGTGACAACTTCCTCCCAAATGTGGTAATTAGCTTAGCAAGATCATGGCCTCCACTGAAAGTCAAGGCAATTCTCAATGTCAGTGTTCATCTCAGTTATATCCAGCCAGAGCAGATGGAATCTAACCTCCCAGTCAGAAGGGATCATGTCCTGTAAGATCTCCCTTCCACATATCGATCCCCACATGTCTTCAGTACATGTTATATGTTTCACACCAATAGAGGATTTGTATAAATTGCACCAAGGGTAGTAACAATAGATTGGTGGATAAATCAGCTTACAAGTAAGGATTTTTCTTCCTCTTGAAGGCTGATAGGGTGTTTGCAGTGGGAAGATTTGTTCAGTGCTTTTCAGGTAAATTTAGGAGGTCTAAGTTTATGTGGTTGAGTATGTGACTGTCATGTGAATAGTATTTTTTGCCTGCATGTATCATATCACTGAAACATCTGACTTGGTCAGCTGCATTTTAAGTGTCATCAGGAATTCAATATCATTTTGGTTGCTGCAATAAATTACAATCTTTCTATTGTTAAATGTAGAGGAAGGTGTGGCCTTTCATAAAAACTTCCATGCATGAAAAAATTGCTTTTTAACCTGTAACAGTCTATATGTACCATGAAGATGTCATTTTTAAGAAATTTCAGCATAGCATAACATAAAATGAATAGATTCATGTACTTTTGAATGTTTGATATTCTTACCCCCCCCCCCCACTTTTGTTTATTATTCTTCCACATTATTCTTCCATTGTTACTGACTGTGTTTTTGTAGAGGTCAGTGCCCTGAGATGTGTTGTTTTCCTGGAGCTATTGTCTAGACACCACGGTATGAATAGCAGGAATGGTACAGTAGCAGCCATCAGACAACCTTGTGTTGATCTACGTTGACACATGACATTTGACTGACTGAACCAGGAAAGACATTCCTTACTGCCTACATTTGGCCTTGTTGAGTCATTATGTCAACAAAGGGATCTATTGTTATCCGTTGATGCACATTCCAGTATGATAAAACCAACATATTTTGAATATAAAACATGAAATAAAACTGTACAGCAAATGTTATCTACCATGGAAACACCGTAAAAGCTGTATTATGTCAGACATGATGTTGCCATCATAAGTTGTCATTTGACATTGACCCAAATGCCTATTGTGATATAGACTGGAGTCTGTCAGAGGTATTACTAATTGACCCATCCAAACCAGAGTTGACAGGCCCTGAAGACAGCCCTTTGGTCCCACCCACCATTTCCTATATGCCCTTTCAACTCACATTGTCCTGATACACAGGGGAATTGTTCAGTCCCTATCATCATCATTATCATGTATCATTACTTGGCAATGTCCCAAATATTGGATTCTTTGTTATCCTGTAATGCAAAATCATGTCATTCACTCCCAGTAAAATGAGTTTGTTAGTTTCTTGGTCTTTGTACTTGTTGGATTCAATTTGAACATACCATAGCCCAGTTGCAGATGCTCCTAGATAATGTCATTTTGATGGATTGAGTAGATGGAAACAGATCTACTTTCATGATTCACTCAGACTCCTACATGCATTTGTCAGCAAAGCTGTTCTGTACTTCTGTGTATCTGACAGGCCAGTTTTTTAATGCAATATTTCAATAACAGAACTATCTTCTTCCTACTTTTGCTTTCGACAATGATTCTTCATTGTTGTCATATGATGATTTGAAACCAGTAGTAACACGTGTCATCTGGTTTGATTGAACAGATAATTTATCTTGTCCTTTGCTACTGTGCTCAGCTTTGCCGACTTAATTGAGAGCTGTCAAAACAAACAAGTTTGCCCACTATTAATGTATAGGCAAATCCCCTTTCTTTTGTGTCTGTAATGAGGTTAATGACAGAGGTTGTAAAACAACTTCCTTTCAGACGGCCCACATCATTTCAGACACAGCAGGTGTCAATCTACATTTGGTTTAGAGATGTAAATGCTGGCCCTCGGTTTTCCAGTGGTTCCTTTGAACAGACGGGTGGTTCCAAGGAAGACAATGGCGTGTTTTCCTTTGTATTTCCCCCTCCCACGTAGATACAAGTCATGCTTATTTCCCTATGACTAGGATTTTCCTGTCGTAATGCACACAAGAGAATGCAAACTTTTGCGAGGGCTGTTTTTCTGAATCCTATCTGACCCTAATTTCCAGAGACAATAGGACTTTTTTTTAAAAGTCACCACTGTAAACCATGCTTTACACTTGGTGTACCCTTGAAACACTTGATTTTCACAAGTCTGAAAGTCCTTTTCCTGAAAAAGAACTTCCTGTGCAAAGCAAAGACACTGTTTATAGACACTGAAACCACTGTATACATATTTATCCATAGTGTTGACAAGCTTGTGCCTTATTGCCAAATACAAATACATTTGTAACTGCATATGTAGAACTAACACTAATTCACAGAGAATACAAGATAGAAGATTAAGCAAGCCATTCACATTTAAGATTTAAGGAGAAAATCTGTCTGGCTTTATTCTTTAAGAATTGTACTTGACAAAAGTCTGTAAGTGTTACGTGGGTTTCTTTGTTTACTTTTCCTGTTTGCCTTGCGATAGGCTCTTGACTCACTGCGGTGTGGGTTCAGGAAGTTTCCTCGTGCAGGAAAATACTGGTCATACTTCCCTAGCCCCTTGTCTTCCTGTCTTTGTTGGACTGGGATGCCTCTCTTGGCTTCTGATGAAAAGTTTTACTTCGGTATCATGACTCTCAACAAGATACTGTAGATATTTGTGGCATGTTTGTTTAGTTTACACGCTTTTCCGTCTTTGTTGTTGGAGATATATTGGGTTTCTTCATTGTAAGGACTCAAATTTGTCTCCAAATGTTCCAGCTCGATCACAATCAGTATACAAAATGGATAGCTGAGAATATGGTTGGTAATGATCATGTTATGGTTATTATTTATGGTTGTCAATCTTACCATTTCTGTATTTTTCTTTGTGTCTGAGAAGTTTTAAGTTGATTTCAGCTAGATGGCAGATAATAACTACAACAGTACACCGTTGCTTACATATTTTGTGGACACTTGAAGGAAATACCTAAAATAGCTTTGGAACCGGATGAAATGTAATGTATTCTGACAAAGACATCCATTGCTCTGCCCACTTTTTGGTAAGTGCTTTTTAGACTCTCTGATAGAAAACTTTTGATATAGACATTTTGATTTATGTATTAGTAATGACTTGACCTTATTGTAAGGTCATCCAACTCTTGACATGTCCCATAGAAGTCCTTTGTCAGGTTGACAACAATGCTTGATAATATGCAAGGGTTGTTTATCACCTCTAGTGCACCTTTCAATGTTGATCCAAAAGTAACTAATGTAGCATTATCAAATTCAAACAAAACAAATCCCAAAGGGCATTTGGCCTACAAAAATTACATCAAAATACAATCTATATAATAGATGTGATAAGTTCACAATCTTGTACCTGAGTATTCATGAGAAGAACACATTGGGAGTCAAAGGAATAAACCTAACCCTACTTGTATCCATTCTTGCCTTAGGACAAGATTTTTACCTAAATCCTATCCCTCTGTAGCAAGGAAGCACAGCACTGAAGTTAATTCATACCATGTTCTTAAACTGAAAACATAACAGACTTGTTTTGTCTATAGTAAAACACACCACATCCACCCCTGTCTGACTAGATTTGTCATACAGCACAGTGTTGTGGTCCGAGTCCTTTAGAAATCCATCAATGGTTACCACCTACATGGTGTATCGATCACCCAGCAGTAACATGTATGTTATCACATGCATTAGCACTATCTGTCCACCCTACCCTCAGTACTTTGCTCTGTCAGTACATTTTGTACGTACAGACAGCGGTCATGTCTATTTCACATTCCTACGAGATGGATGCTATCAAGATTAGGTCTGACATGACCTTGGGAGAAGTGAATCTGATACCCACAGTGTCTTGGCATGATGGAGAGCAGGAATCAGGACTCATTTGAATTTTCCCCAGGGGCAGTGAGAGCTGGCTTAGACCTGTCTGTCTTCTCTGCTAGTCAGAAGCCTGATTGAGAAGCGACATTTAGATGTGCAGACTGGGTTGTGAGCCAGCGAACTTCTGCGCTGTTTTATAGATTGGATGCTTTATTGCTGTATTAACAGTTATGCAGCATGGATGGCTTATCAGGTGTCAAGTTCACGTATTTACAGCAAGTTCAAAGGCAGACCTGTTCTTTTAACCAGGTGATTTGTATCATATATGTTTCCAGTCAATTTGTATTGTTGCCAACAATGCTTGGCAGTCCTCTTGTTAACCTTTAGTGTGTGATTGTGAGCTTTGATAGACATTTTCACTTATTGTATTCCGTGTTTTATTGCTGCTACAGAGTGTGACCTACCCACTGAGTGCCTTAACCCACGACCTTGTGCGACCTATGCAAGAGGACAACATGGCGGACAGCGTGGAGGACATGGCGAACCTGAGTGACCTGAACGAGGGGTCGATCCTGGAGAACATCAGGCTCAGATACGTCGGAAACAGGATATACGTACGTAACCATCGCAGAAACTACTGTGGATCTGTACAGCTGTGAATGTGATGCTAACTCTGTCTTCTTTCCCATCAGTGACTTATGGAACATCACTACAATTTATTCTGATTTTCTTTCTTTAACCTTCTTCCTGCAATGGTGGTCATTTGGCACCAGCTTTCTATTGCTTTAGAATTAGGAAAAAGAATAACCTCTATCTGTATGACCTCCTTTCTTTAGATTTTCAGCTTCCACAAAAGATAATTTCGAAAGCTATCTTTGGTAGTCCACCCAAACTGTTACATTAGATTCTACAGCATTTAAAATTCTCCCAGCTGTAGCACATACTTTACTTTACTTCAGTAGTACATCTATGCACCAAATCTGTAAAGTGTAATGGTTACGTTGTGAATAATCCTATCTGGCCCAACACTGTTCAGTGCAGCTGTTATCTTCAAACATTCAGACTGTTAAACTTTTGAATTCTCTAAACAGCAATATAAATGTCAGACAAGTGAGTGTATATGGAAGACAACAGCTGCCGATGTTGTGGGTTGAATTTAAACCACCCTGTGTGTGACCCTTCCATGTACCTGGGGGCAGTACTGTGTGCTTCCTCCCTCCCTGACTGATTCCTATTAGAGACAGGTTTAGCGGATATCAAAGGGGGAGTGATCACTGCTCCCAGATATTAACTCTGCTTCTCTCAGAGTCAGAAAACAAAGTCACCTATCCATTTTGCATTCTCTGTAGCATCCTTGTGACATTGTGATCTTGCAAAGACAAGAAGTAACAGTATGTAACAGTACATCAGTTGAGGTTGGATAGAAAGTTCTCCATTTTTACAGTGTAATACAATGTCATGACAGACTTGGGGCTTTTGAATGTTTTTGCCCTCCCACCTTGCTATTCAAACTCAGTGTCACCTCCACACACAAGGTCTTCACCGACCGCTGGAGTGTGTCAAACTGACACAATGTACTAACAGGAGGCTGGCAGAGTCAAATAAACAATCTAAAGCCTATCTGAATGTCAAGGTAAAGTGTCAGGTGTGTTGAGGTAAGAGATAGGAGGCCTTTTTGCTGAAACAAAGACCGTGTATGAAGGAGTTATTCAAATAAGGTGAGGATGATAAGAAACACTTGTCACAGGCTGAGGGATGTGTGAACTCTAAAAGCAACAAACTTGAGAGATGTATTGTATTGTTTGGTGGTTGTAGTAGATGCTTGGGTAGTAGTACCTAATCTATCAAGTGTGAAAGTTTGATGATGACACATTTTGAAAACTTCTTCATCATCTGATAAGTGACTAATAATCAGCAATCAAGTCTTTGGAAGCAAATAACCATTAATTGCCTGAAACATGGTACAAAAATATGTTAACCAAGCTGCATGCTTATAGGTCACTATATACTAATTGTAAAGGCACATTTATTGTTGTTAATTGGTGTCAGACATTAAAAGCCTTGGATTGAGCATATCAAGGATTTTTTTCAACAAGATTTGACCTTCAAGTTTCCTAGACCAGAAACTCAATACCATGGAATTAAGCCATTACCCTGAACTTTAGGTAGAATGATACTCTATTCTAACTCAAGCATGAAATGCTACCATCGCTCATCCTTTTTCAGCCTAGAGGCCATTGGCTCCAAAACTACTGGAGATGGTTGCCTGATTTTTTTCAGCAAAGCATAATCCTGTCTCTTGAAGTTCTCTCACAGAAAATGTCGCCAGCTTATACAAGAAGGAACTGTTTTGGATCAACCGATTTAGTACTTATCCATAGCTCAGTGATCTACAAAGGCCCAGACCAGGTTTAACCTTGACATGTGGGTGACATGTCTTACTTATAACAGTGGCAGCCTTGCTGCCAGATTAGGTCTGCCCTATCACAACCCACTCTCAATGTCTGCCGGAAAAGTCTGTTGTGTTTCTTGGAATGACAAGAAATAATCCTTATAGCGGTGCCAAAACAAAAAAGCTGACAAAATTGAAACAATGCATTCTTTGGGTACAGGTTTCTGTTTCATTGTTGTTTTTATTTATTTATCATCAGACAAAATTGTTATGTTTTTACAGAATGCACAGACTTGTATTTAAAAAATTCCCATAATCCAAATATTGTTCAGATGTACCTCCAGAGCTACAAGAAGAATTGCCAAATTATTTCATGCAACTAACTTATGTATATGTATTTTTTTAAATCATTACAGACATACATAGGACATATCCTATGTGCAGTGAACCCCTACAAGCCAATAGAGGACCTGTACAGTAAAGGATGTATCCAGGCCTACAAGAAGAAGCACATTGGTGACCTCCCTCCTCACATCTTTGCCATTGCTAATGAGTGTTACTATGCCATGTGGAAAGCAGGAGGGGCGAACCAGTGTATTCTCATCAGGTAGGTTATCACTATATTATTATACTAAGAAGAATGGTATTACACACAGACGATACTGTAAATCACTTTATGTTTACAGTAGCAAAAGTTTGCAGTCTGAGAAAAATGCACATGCTCACAGAACTTTTGCAGTGGAGGCAGGTTTAAAAAAAGGAAGCAAATTATTTGTTCACAGTAATGATAAGTTTGTGGTAAAGAAGTGACAGCGAAAAATCATGATTTTCAGTAGTAATTACACTGGGTAAGATGCATCAATATGCAACATAATTTTAATTGTGACCAGATTCAAATAGATTGAATATGAAACACAAAACCTCACTTCCGTTAGTAAATCTACTCCATCCTTCAATCACCGTGTTTTTAATCTACTCAAGATTTCCCAGAGAACAGGTGTCAGGGACCCCCCAGCATTCTGCCTCAAATTAACTTTAAGATATCTGAGTACGATTAAAGACAACTGAATGTGATTTCACAATCTAAATTCATAAAAACATCTGATGCTGCGTCATACATTTTCATAATTACTGGCAGCTGACATGGTTGATACATTGTACAATACTGTGGTGCAGTACCGCTTATGGAGTTAGATGGCGCTGCTGTGCTAGGCATGTGAATGTATAATCAATGGGAATTTTGGTCAAGACATTATTGGTAAGATGAATACATGTATATATCAACTAGATCTTTTGTTGTTTCTAAGAAAATCCCCATTGTTTTCTATCCACTTTATTGATTGAACAATAGCAATGCCTTAGATTCTAATCAGCACAGGTGGACATGAAGCATTAGAAGTTTGTTTTTGAATGAACTGAGTGAAGAGAACAGGTCTAACTTTCTGTTTCTCCATGTGTAGTGGAGAGAGTGGAGCAGGGAAGACAGAGAGCACCAAGTTCATCCTACAGTTCCTGTCTGAGATGAGCCAGGTGTCAGGAGGGTCTGGAGAAGGGAGCACAGACACCAGTGTGGAGCAGGCTATCTTACAGAGCAGGTACTCCATAAACCCCCATGGGATTCACAAGGATTGTGGGGGAACTGCTAATAATATTGTTTCAATTATTTTCACTCTTGATGCATATTAATACACTTTCATTTGTTCTCCATTTTTTGCACCTGCCTCCTTACACTATAGTAAAATGTCCCAAATTGACCTTCCTTCAGTGCTTATTTTTCAGACTCTTAATTTAGCAACATTGATTGATACTATTATGTCATAGATGCAGATTTTCTGCCTATCAAACCATCATTTTCAATAAGAGCAGAATCTGTTTTCTTTCTTACTAGACATAGGATAAACCTTGGTGCCAGCAATCAGTTCCTCCACTTTGCCTGAGACTTTATGACTCTGTAGGATGAGCTCTTGAGTCTGACCTTCAATCAAAATCTGGCCCTGTCTCTACAAGATCTTTGTGAAGCTTTAGGAGCTGATTACTTGTATTACTGAATACTACATCCCAATACCATGTCTCAAGTATGGGTGGTAAAAAATGGATCCAGCTGTTTTCATAGAACCCATATTCTTTTTAGAACTAGTACTGTAAGATCATTAGTTTGTGTTGAATTCATGCTATAGTCTTGTGTCTCACACTAACTATATTTACTTCCTGACATTGTTTTTCAACAGTCCTATCATGGAGGCATTTGGCAATGCCAAGACAGTCTACAATAACAATAGCAGCAGATTCGGCAAGTTCATTCAGCTGCAGTTCAACGAGAAGGGCAGCATTACAGGGGGCAGGATTCAGGACTGTATCCTTTGTACACACCAACGCTCAGCATAATGATCAACTTAGGATATATCAGTGAAGATTATGATATTTTGTAGTCATCTAGCCTAATTTTGTCATGATTGGGGACTGTACGATATTTACCGGGGGGGAGGGCTGGTGCACTGGAGGGGAGGGCCATTGAAAAAAATTTTGGCCTGGGGGGAGGGCCATGGAAAAAAATTTTGAGCCGGGGGGAGGGCCATCGAAAAAAAAAATCGGCCTGGGGGGGAGGGCCACCGAAAAACTTTTGTAAAATATGGTGTCGCGTAGTACCGAATTACAAGAAATACGCCGTAAATTCCCGAATATAGTACGCACTTTTTACATTTTTCAAAATCCCAGAAGTGTCTCGGGCCGTCGCCAAAGTCGCGGTGCGTACGTACTTTATTTGAGTTTTCCGCCGACAAATCCGTGGACGACCCAGGAATATAGCGGAACACCGGCAAGGGGAGCTTGGAACATCGATCGTCTATAGCATGTTTAGATAAGAATATTGACGAGTGGAAATAAAGTTAAACTTCAATAAATGAACATATTTCCTGTGACTATCGTCGATATTGACACCAAGTTTCGGTAAAAGAAGAAGTCAAATCACCCACGGTAAGAAAATGTAGGTCTCTGGCAATGACCGGCCCGGACCGGATCACCAACACTCCGAAGCTGGATCCAAATCTGTGCGTTTCACCGCACTTGCCTTACCTTTCGATGCGGTGGTGACGTCTTGCAAGTCGGCTGCAGCCGGCGGTGAAAAACAAGCCCGAACTTGAAACGTTTCCCGCTACGTTACCATACAATCACGTAGTACACGGCATAAATCTAGTTTTTAACCATTTTAAATTTGTTTGGAACGACGAACTGACTTTAAGACATACATACTACATGTTCACTGTGGTACCGGCCATGCGTAGAAGGGGTGCGTACTTAATTCGAGTTTTTCCATTTTACGTTTCAGACGGGAATATTTGTCTCCCACCAGCCCCAAATCGGGGGTGCGTACTTTAATCGGGATGCGTACTTCATTCGGGAATTTACGGAGGGAGAAAGAGACATGGACTGGAAAAATGGGGGGGAGG